TGGCCAGGCCTTGGAAGCAGTTGTTATAACCAAGGTCACCGGCACCACTGCAAGAGCGGGCTGCTAAAACTCCTTCCAAAAGTGGTGGGCACCAGCTCTGCTGTCACTGAGCTCAGGCTGGCTGCCCCAGAGGTTATGGCATGGGCTGAAGTGGTGAATTCATTCAGCTCAGTCTTAGCAGCTTGGCTTAGCTCTTTCCACAGCCTAGCTCACTCCGCATCCACGAGACTGAAATCTCAGCTCTGCTTTGCCATTCCTGTTGACCTGCCACTTTATCCCCCAGACCAGACTGACAAACAGCAGTTCTGGAAGGACACAGCTCATGTAGGCACATGCACAAGGGTGATTTCAAGGTGTTAAGCATTTTACTGAGGTTTCTTTTACCAAAATATGGGACCTGGGGTAACCCCCAAAGCACCTGTAAGGACACAGTCTGCACAGAATAAAGACTGGACAAAAGTGACAAAGCAGAAGGAAGAAGCAAAATACCCAGAGCTATTAAACACAGTCTTCAGAAACAGGTATTGTTCCTCAGGTTAGAAGATTTCAGATTATCTCTCTCTTTCTGATGAAAGCTCAAATAAGTGATTACAGAACAAGTGTTAGAACATACACAGAACAGACACAGTGTTCTTGACTGGCAACTCAGCAAGTAGGAAATACAGCTCTCAGATGCCATACTGGGAGTGTTTCTCAATGCCACCGCTAAGGATAGGACAGAAATAATTCAAACAATTGTGAGGAAAGGGAGTTAAGGAATATCCTCTTATTCTCCTTAGTAGAAAAATCAGGTGCAAACTACAAGCCAAAGCTGCAAGGATAATTTAGGGATCCCACACGAGCTTAAGGTAGGTGCAAAACCAATGATTCCCTTGGGAGGAAAAAAATTCCAGTGCATTAGGGAAGAAATAACAAGAAAAAAACAATTGAGATTACTAAGGAAGCAAATCCCCTCTGGTGGCACAGAAGTCAAAAAGAGAGTTTTCAGCTATACTGATGGACCAATCCCCTGAGGTGTAAAAAAAGAAAAGAATTTCATAGGGAAAAAAAAAAAAAACAACCCAACCAAAAAAACCAAGAGATACTGTTTTTCTTCCTCCTCACATTCTGGCCTTTGTGCATGTTGAAAAAATAAAACAGAAGAAAAAGCAGCAAAGATGTTTTTTGAGACAAAGTAGCAGCATACAAAATGCCTCCCAATAAGAAACACGACAAAGTTACTAAAACGTTTTATGCCATCACATTAGAAAAACAGCAAAAGTGCAATAACAGAACATTGAAGAATGAGTTTCACCCAAAGAAAAGCTGAACAGCAGGAGCTTTTCTGGAATATTTTAGTTGAGTGTACACATCCATGTCACACCATCACTTCTTACTTAAAAACAGCTGCAGAAGGCTCCTGCTGTGGCCGCTGCCGTTAGCTGAAGCTCTGATCTTCCTGTCTTCATACAAGTCATCAAGCCACATTTCCTGCTGGAATTAAAGTGGCAGCCCCTAGGGACTATGCAGCTACCCAATTTATATCACAGAGAATCTGAAGCAAGCACCAGGATTTTTTTCCAACTGCTTAATTTTTATTTATTTTTTTGCAATCCCCAAGTTCTAATAAGAGTTTTTTTCTGGGCATTTGCCTTTTGAAGCAATTACAAGAAAACATAAGACATTTTAAGACCTGTGCAAAAAAGCTGAGAGCAGGAAAAACCTGGGGGCAATCTCACTGGCATCAAACCAAAGCATGCCTTGGATACCTATTGCACCCATAATAGTTACATACAGATGGTACAGATGGTATATGGATACTATGAGGGGTATTTCTAAAACAACAAAAGCTGCAGATCATGACACACAAGTATTTTGGCTCAGAGTAAAAATAGGAGAGCAATGGGAAAACTGTCCTGGCCAAGTGCTCAAACTACCTGGTGCCAGGCAAAGACAGCTACAGGGTCATGGCTAAAGATGCAGAAATGCAGGCAACTGGTTTTTGTTCTGCACTTCCAGTACTTAACACAGCAAGAACCAAGTCAATGGAGTGTTCCTAACAGCTATGATAGGTTATGATAAATAAGACTTTGGAGAAGATCACGTAGCATCCCATTAAGTAGTCTCTGTAGTTAAACACAGATATCCATAACTCAAAGAAAGTCTTATGTTACCAGACAACACTCCATAGACATCAAGCAGGGTAAAAAGCAGTCTCTCTTGTATGTGATTCTTTTTTTTTTTTTTTTTGTTAAAAAGTCTGCCATAAATAATATCAAAATCAAGGCAAAGTTGCTCTACTTCAAAACCAAGGATCATAGAACCCTACAAAAGTAATAATCTCTTTTTTTTTCCCAAAGAATGGAAAGCAAATCAAACTGCAGCATGTTAAATTGAGCATTAGAAGGGCTCTCAGCCACTTCCAAAATTACTTGAGAGCACATTATAATTAGCCAAGGTATGTGACAGTTTTATACCCCTCTATGATGCATGATTAAAGCCAGGCAGCCCAGTCCTGCGCACCGTCAAAACAGATGTGACAAGAACTGCAAGCTGCTCCCAGACAGACTGTGAGAAAGCATAGGCAGATAACATTTTGGTCATCAAAGATGTAAGACCCGACACAAAACTAATTAAACCTCAAAACCCCTCAGAGAGGTAGGAAAACTGAGGTTTTATGAAGCATCCCGTGCTTGAGCTGCAGTGCCCCAGCCCGAGAGCAGGCATGAGAACGAGCTCCTGCCTTTCTCTCTGAGGTGCAACAAGGAACAAAAATTTACAGCCTTGATAGTAACAGCTCACAGCCTCAGCACGAGGAAGCAGGGCACAAATGCCTGGAGAGATGCTGCAGTAACACCACCAGGATGATCTGTGACACTGCTGATTTTTCCCACCCAAGACTGATACCTCTTATCTGTCTGCAGCAGAGAGGTATGGAGTCCTGGGCCACTGTGAAAAGCCAAGTCCAAACACCACACAAATCCTGCCTCTCACATTTGCAGGGTAGTGTCTGCTGAGCACTCAAAATATCAATTAGAGGCTCAGCTTCTTGTGGAAAAACAAGGTACAGGAGGGAAGCTGTGCATCAGCCAAGGCCTATGCCTCTTGAACTGGGGTTAGAGTGGAAAAAAGGTGTTACAAGGAAACATGTAAGGAACATGGAGAATTTTAGGCTTTTGGATTCCACAGTCAGTTTTAAGTGTGAAATAGTGTGGCAAGTTGGTTTCTGAGAAGTGTATCCAAGCCATCACTTTTATTCTTATTTATCTTCAGATTTTCATATTTAGACTACATCTTAATGCTTCTTCCTGCATGACATTCCTCTGCATACAGCATCTTTCCTTCTTGTTTCCAGGCAGCCTCCCCCATTGCTTCCTCTGCAGTGCTTCAGAGCTCACCTCTTTAACATCCCAGCAGTTTCAGGCAGTTTTCCTGATATATCCCTTAAACTATTCCCACCACACTGCTCCTGTTGTGTCCTCTTCCCCATCTCCTCTGCAGAAATTTCTTTCCTCATTATCCTCATGCCCAGGAGGCAACCCCTTCTACAGGAGGCTGCAGAAATGGTGCAGCTGGTTTCTCCTTCAGGCACCTCAGGCTGTTCCCACCACAACTGTTTGGGTGAGGTGTTTGGGAGTTTGGTTGTGTGTTTTGCTTGTTTGGGTGACAGACAGACAACTTGCCAGTGTCCAACTCACCCATGATTCATCCCTGAATTTTCTTAGGTAAAAGAGTTGCAAATGGGGAGACAATTACACAGTGCAATCACTTCATGGACACTCTTAGATCTGGAGAGTTTTGGAGAGCCTCCCAGCCTCACAAAATTAATGAATTTTATCAAAGACAAATCTTCCACTGCTGCTACAAGGGTAAGCTGGTTCAGGTGGGCAAAACACTTAAGCCTCTACTTTCTGATGGCTTTGGTATGAAGAAACAAACTTGCTGCATGTTTACAAGCAGGTATAGATTGCTCTGTGGCTATTTTGATGAAGATACACATGACTGCAGACCCTTTACAGTCAATCATTTGGAGATAGTAAAAGCAGTGCAGCTGCCCAGTTCAGCTCCTGATACCCACTGATGCTGAATGTCTATGCAGCAATGAAAGAGAACTTAATTAAGTGGTATATGCATATATAAATCAACTATATAAATTTTGTTGAACATAATCAGTTAATTAGAAATAGAGTTTTCAATGCAAGCACCTATGGATCTGCTTATGCACTGGCCTAAACCTCTCCACAACAGGGGGATCTTAGGGAGCAGGACAGCTTCCAGACAACTGCATGTGTTGCCAAGCTGTCTTTGTCCCCACAATTATGCTTTGCTATTAACATGATTCACAAAAGAACAAATAAAACACACTGCAACAAGCCTTTGCTATCACTGGAAGCACATTTTGCTGTGCGAGTGGCAGTCCTCTAAAAAATGATGCTCTGCAGATGTCTCCATTTGGGAGGCTGCTTTAGTGGACACTGACAAAGTGTCTCTGGATGTCAAAACCTCAAGAGAACACATCAAATCACTTTCCAACACCCTGCAGCTGAAGTAATTCCAATACTTCTATTTCTAAGAAAATAATCATTGTTGGCCCTATGTAAAGCAAATGGGATCTTTCACGCAAGTGAGGCGTGTGCAGAGCAGCAAGTTTTATGCTACGCAATACATACAAATGTTGAAAACATATGTGATGACTTAATATCACTAATTTGACCAAACAGAGTGCAGAGCACAGCAGCAGATGTGAATGTTCACTGTGTCACCAGTGCTACAGCAGAGCACCAAACACCCTTTTGCACGGCATCTGAACAAAGGAGTTTGCTTAACGGCTCCGTACAATTAAAAAGCCTACAACTCAACCCAAGAGAACTCGAATTCCCTTTCACTCCGTGAAGCATCTGGCCTGATTGCTGGTGGCTGCTGATCAGTGCCATGTCATCACTCCAAAGCCGTGAAACATCCCGCCACGTGTTAATTAGCTCCCCTTGCAGAGCGCTCAGCCACAGAGCGAGGTTACTCACGTGATGTCTCTGCGCTGATAGCAACCTTGAAGAAGGCAAGCGATCAGGTCGCTGATAAACTCCACATCATCCCCGTGAAGAGCAGCTTCCAGTTCCTAATGAGCAGAAAGGAGAGAAGGAAAAAAAAAAAAAATCCAACCATTAAACTAATTCCTTAAAATTTCCTGCTAGCTCATCTGGACCAAAAAGACCCAAACAGCTTCATGTATGTGTACAGCAGCAGAGCACATATGGGGTAAACTGACCTTCCTCATCATTAAAAATACTGCTTCTACTACCTCTTCATTGCAAGAGTTTATGGGAAGACCTTGAAAGGTTTTTACTGAATGTCACTCTCCAGCCAGAAGACGAATGCTTTTGTCTGGACGCAGAAAAATAGGGTTCAGTGAGGTTGAGATACACTACAGCCTAATAAGAAAGGCATGATTTCTCTCATGTTCACCTGATGGACAGGAATCAACAGTTTCATTCTTCTGCTTTGCCTCCACTCACTGAGGCTGGTGAGCTCAATTTAAAAGATGTGCTCAGAAAGCAGGGCACTAAAAGCCACTTACAACCCAGAAGGAGCAGTTTCAGATGGATTGCCAGAAATGGCTGAAAGCTAGCAAGCAAATGCCTCAAAGAAAAGCAGGCATTTTGATTATTTAACTTACTTCTTATACAGTTCATTTTTTTCCCAAGTCCAGTAAGAGAGAAAGGATGGAGGGATGTCAGACTTTGTGACCCAAAATCTCAATCCTCAATGGAGAATATCACGGCTTATTCTTGCACAGCAGAGTTCACAAAGATGTGATGCAGAAATTGATCCACAAAAAGGATAAACTCCTGAAATTTAGTCATTATGAATTTTGCACCTATTGTGAGAAATATCTTTTTTTCAGCTAGCAGTTTCAAGCTTTGTTTTCCAAATATCATTTGGTTAGTAACAGTTTTATTTGCATGCCAGAAAATTATTCACAGTAAGAAAAATCCACTTTCTCTAAGACTTATCATCACTAGCATACAGCATTTAACAAGATTTAATATGGATAAACAATATAGGCATAAGAAGCTATTCTTTTTGGGTTTCAGAGTAAATAATGGATTGAATACAAATTCCTACTTGAATGTTACTCAACAGACTGTTACACAAATAGCTAAGCTAATGGCTACAGAATAAAGGTTAATGGCCAGAGAATAAAGGATAAACGTTTTGGCACTTACCCAATAAAGAAGAGAAAGTGCTTTTTTTATTAGACCGCAGTGACTGCAGTAATAAAATTATTGATAACAGATTGCAGCTTAAACGCCGCTTGTAGTTTTTTATTGGAAATGTATTAATGGCATATTTTCATTACCAACACTGCTCTTATTTACCTCTTGTGCAACATGCAAAGTGCTTCAGGAGCGGAAGCCTGACACCTGCCCTGTGAAGAATGTACTAAACACATCAACTGCACGTGGAAACCGGAGGTAAGGAAAGGGCAGCGTGCAGCCAAAGCCTGATGTCCTGCCACAGAGACAGGGAAAGGACCAGCAATCTCTCTTCTCTGCCTCTAGATGAGCGCCCTGCTTAATGACAAGTTAACACAAAATCTACAGTTGCTGCTTGCCATCCCTTGGACAGAGTGATATTGTTGTTGTGTAAATAGTAATCATGTTATATAAACAGTAATTACCAAGTTAATTCACTGAGAATCACTGAGACTCAGTCCCACAAGGACTGAGTCCTGCTCCTTGTCCTGCTTACCTGATAAGTGGCTAGTATTTTAGAAGTGTTGACTTACTTTATTTGTAAAATATTTTAGTGGACATATGCCTTCTATAAATATCCTTGGAGGAGAGGGGAGCAGGGAGGACCTAAAGCACATGATATGCTAAACCATCCCAGATGTGTTACCACATTACCACAATAAACCTGCAGCTCGTGAAAAATGACATGTCAGAACCCAGAATGATGGGCAGGGGGAAAGTAAGTCTCCAGGATGCCTCCCTGCATTCAGCCTCTCCCTCATCCACATACATTTGTTCATTAAAGCTGTCAGTCAGCAGTCTGCCCCTGCTAGGATGTGACAGCCTTTTGTATGAAGGAATATTTAAACTGCTTCCCGTGAGCCTTTTCAGCCTGCTGTTTGACTAACACTCCTTAAGCAGTGGCCACAACTGCCTCAGATAGCCCCTATCTGCAGCCATTGTTTCCCAGAGTGACCTTTACATTTTTGGAGTTGGCAGGTCACTCCAGGAGCAGGGGGGCATTCCTGGGGCACTGGGCAAGATGCCATCTCCTGGGCAGGGACTAAAACACCTGGATGGGCTGTTCCCCCTGCCTCTCCTCCTGTTTTCCCCCTCCACAGCAGGTGTAGCACAAATTTTGGGGATCCAACCCAGACCCAGATGGATCTCACAGCCACGGGATAAAGGAGGCTCTGGGCACACAGACCAGTGTGGGGCTGGGTGCAGAGTCCCAGTGCCATGCTGGGTAATGGGGCTCTGGAACAAGACAAGATTCATCAGCACACACAGCATGGGGCCAGTGAAAGCCCATCCGTGGCAGGCATGAGGCTGTTGGTGTTTCTGTAGAAAGACACTTGCAGGGTGCTCCCCAATGCCATGGGTGCTTCCTTGGAGCCCATCCTGATCTTCTGCTCCCTGCCAACAAGAGCACTCAGTGCCAGAGTATGACAGTAAAGGCACAGTCCAAGTATTACCGTGATTATTTGTCTTGCAAAAAAGTCACTGACATTGTCCTGTAATGTTTCTGTCTACATTTCAACTATTGTTGCTTGTGACAGAAGAGTAAGAGCAGTGAGAGGAACCTGATGAATGAACACAGGGACTGAACAATGAACCCAGGGCTGGGTCCATCTATTTATCTGAATGTCATGATTTTCTATCCCACTGGATTCTCCAGCTTCCGGTCCCAAAACACCTACATTCTAGACTCTTCCCACACACTCAGAGTGCTGTGGGAATGACAGACACACTAGGAGGATGTGATGCAAATCTGAATATCTCAGGAACATGAACAAAGAGTTAGTACCCCTTCAGGTTTTCATCTAATGCTTCAGCCCCCATTTAGCAAGAGGATTTTTCAGCCTTCTCCCTCCAACAAGGCACAGCCAGCAAAGCAGCACACTGCTCAAGCAGCACATCTAAACAGAGGGAGATGAATTGATGCCAGGGACTCTCAGGAGAAAGAAGCCACTAAAACCCCCCTGGTCCTAAGGGCAAACCCTGCCTCAGTCACCCATCCCCACACTCCTCCAGCCTGGCCAGGACCAGCAGCTCAGCTTCCTCCCCGCCACCATCCTCCCCACGCCTCCAATCCTTTTGTTTTTCCTCTTTTCTCTTTGAGCACTGAGCTGTGAGCACAGAAATCTGAACCTTGCCAAAACGCTTTGGGGACAGCACAGAAAGGAAACAGAAGAGGCAGCAAATCAGCAGAGGAAAAGGGGGGGACACACATCTCCTCCTCCTCTAGCTGGAGAGAGCAACAGACAGGAGAAAAGCAGGATTCTCCCCCTCTCCAGCTGGCGTCACACCTCATTAGGGAAAAGCCTGTTTAACGTCTTTCCCTCCCCCCAGCCCGGTACTAAATCCCCCCTGAGTCAGGCAAGGACTGTTGGGAAGAGGCAATCGCTGGAGCAAGGGTGGGAGCAAGGGTGACCACCTCTCCCAGGAGGAGCACTGGCCCAAAGCGGGGCCAGCAGGGTGGCAGGAGGCACCAGCCCGTCCGTCCCCACTCCCTGGGACAGCGGGCTGGGACAGAGGGGCTGGGGACCCCACACCCAGCACTGGGCAGGGATGGTTAACCCCCCCGGCTGGGGGCCTGAAACAAACGCTGCTTTGGATGCCTTTTTGATATCTGCCCGGATTTTTGAGAGGGAGGACAGTCAACCTTCCTGATGGAAGTAAACAAATGAGTTCACAACAGCGACGCCGCTGTCACCAAGCCAGCATGGGGTGACCATGGGGCTGTGGAAAGCAGCCAGCCAGCCTCCAGCTCCTGCTCCAGCAAGCTGACTGTGCAAAGGGCAGCCTTACAAAGCTTTGTTTCAGAATACAGACTCCTCCAAACCTGCAAGAGCCCAGTGTGAGCAGGCTGGGTGCTGAGGTACGGGACTACAGTTTAGAGGTTTCTTCTGTGCTGGAGCTGAATCATCTATAACTGAATGTGATGGACATAACGAGTTTAAGCACAGCTAAGCCTTGTCCAAGTTAGCCATCAGTTTAAAAACCCCAATCCCTTCAGCTCTATTTCCATACAGCTGCTGTTATCAGCTTTCCACTGCAATGCTCCAAAGTGACTCAACAGGCTTTAGGAGATCACCAAAAGCCACCAGCGGGACGTGCTGAGCCAGCCCCAGCCCATGCTCTGAAATTTCAGTGCTGTCACTAAGTCAGGATGTTCTCTTTCCCTCACAGATAATTAATGACAACAGGCATCTGGGCAAAAGTTTGGCAAACTCATGCCAAAGGGTAGCGGGATTGGGCAGGAAGATGGAAAGTCAAGTCCAAGAAGCACCATTCTATGTGAAGTCAGTGTGCTCAGGTGCCCCTAGCACCTTCTCAGAATGCCTGAGGGAACCAAGCCCCCACCCAGCACGCTGCCTGCAGCCCAGTGCTGTGTTCTCCCTGCCTGGGATCCCTGCCATCATATGGAAATAGTTTCCAAGATATGAAGCCTACTGAGAGTGCTCTGCACGACAAGGCAGGAGGGCACTGCAGGGCAGTAGGGCTGTTCCTAGGGCCAGGGTACCCTACAAGGGCAAACAGCAGTGTCATAAATTCAGAAAGAACTTATGGCTCCTGGTCCTGGTGGAGTCTCCCAGACATGCCATCTTAAGTGGCTGCTGGAAACACTGTCTTATCCAAGTGGGCAGCTGGATGCACCTCTCCCACCTTCCCCAGAGTCCTGCATGCTGCCTTCTCTCTCTATGATCCTCCAGGGCTTTAAGGTTTCCTAAGCTAAAAGGATCCCCAATCTCTTCATTCTGCTTTTCCACAGCAGGGAAAATGGATGCTGAATGCTCTCCATGTGCTGCTGGCAGTGAGGATGAAGTCAGCAGCTGCCTCAAGGAAATGCCATCATCTTCACCTCACCCTCAGGACCACA